AGTTGCTTCGTTTTATGTGATAATACTTTCTCTTTAATTCTATAAACAACATAATTTCTTGTTCAGTTACAAAGTTTTGCTGTTCAAGTCCCATAATTGCTGTGTCGAGAATACCGACTAACTTGTGAATCGAAATTTTTTCGTTTTCACTAACCTCTCTGTCACTTTCTTCATGTCTTTATCCATTTTTTTGCAGCAATTCCACTTTTTGTTTGATGGACATAGAAACATACTTTCGTTTTGTAGATCCTTTGGGAGCTCCAGAATCGGAAATTCTATTTGACATAATCGAAAGTTCAAGTTTACTTTTATAACATTGCTCTTAAATTCTTCAAAAAATAATAAGCCGCATCCAATTCGAAGATTAAGGAACAACACAATCATCAACATTAACTAAAAATAGATAATTTTAGCTTATACCGTCTGTTATACATTAAACGCGCACGCAAAAACGTATTCTGCGCTTGCGCACACGCGCAGTCGTAAAGGTCTTACGCACACGTAAACGCCTATGCGCATGTGTCAACTCGGCGCATGCGCAGAAAGTTTTTAGCTTTGAGATCCGGATTATGGGTGTCCGAATTAACGACTTTTGACTGTACTATTCAAACAGCATCTGACTTACTTCCAATGGATCTTGAAAATATTATTGCAAAAATTTATTCGTATTTATATATATATATTGTGGTGTTGAAGTTTGAGGATTATGTGAAAGGCAGAAATCAAAATAAAAGAATTGGGTACATTAAAAAGGGGATTTTAGGGAATATGTGGAAAAATCTTTTTTTATATATTAGCAACCATTTTCCAAAAAATAATATTGCGAAAATGATCTTTTTTGATAGGTTTGTCATTGGTAAAAAGATACGTTATTGAAGAAAAAATTAAATGTTGGCTGTCTGCAAATGTGGAAACAGACAAAAAATGGATGGAGTTATTCCTCTATTTTAAACAGAATAATATTCCTTATGAAAATATTTTGAAAATTGTAGAACACACACTCTCCCTTCAGGGAACAAATGCAGCAACAAGAGATGTTTTTTATAGTATCAATAAAATATGGAGAATTGAAAAAAACACAGTTCAACATTAAAACTTTAAAATCTGTATTAAGGGTAAAATATAATTTGATCAATTCATGTGGAAATTTCATGACATTTTAAATAGATGATCCAATATTGCAAAGTATTCACTCGGATAAAAAATATATCAGAAAGAAAATCATAATATTTTAAATAAAATTTTTAATAATTAAAAGCATAGTATTCAAATTAGTTTTTTACAAATATTTTTATAGTTACCAAGTTAATAATACCTATATTTTGTATATTTATAGACAAGTTATGAATGTCTACAGTAAAATATATTTTTTTGAATTATTGGTCTGATTTTATAACTAAATTACAATTTTCATTTCATTCTATTTGTCACTCTTTGTCACAATGAAAATGTGGTCACTTTATGTATGGATGTCTACACAGGAATTGAGTAATTGAAGAGTTTTAGTTTGGGGGAAACTTCCCCTTGATAAGTCCGTCTCCTGCCTGCTCAACAATTTTACTGTATACATTCATATACTTGTCTATAAATATACAAAAATATATTTATATTACTATTGGTAACTATAAAAATATGCTTATAAAAATTTTTAGGAATAAATTTAATTTTTTGGAATTATATATTTTTTCATGGTTTTGGTAGTGCAATAAATTTACATATGCTCTTAGATTTAAATATTGTAAATTAGTTTGCGCAATAATAATTATTTTTATTTCTTTCCAATTAAAATTTCTTAATTAATTTTAAATTTTAATTTTATATTTTCTTTATACAAATATATATCTATATATTGTGTATGTGTGTATTTATATATACATATGTGTGTGTATATACAGTCGAAAGTCGTTAATCCGGACGCCCATAATCCGGAATGATCTATAATCCGGACCTCAAAGCTACAAACATTCTGCGCATGCATCAACGCATAATGCGTTCACACATGTGCGTAATATTTTTACACATGCGTGTAATACCTTTATGCATGTGCATAAACGTGCACGCATGTGCTTTTAATGTATAACGGACGGTATAAGCTAAGCTAAAATTATCTAATTATCTATTTCAGTTAATGTTGCAGATTGCATTGTTCCTTATCTTCGAATTGGATCCGGCTTATTAATTTTTTGCAGACTGTTAGAGCAATTTTATAAAAGTAAGCTTGAACTTTCGATTATGTCAAATAGAATTTCCGATGCTGGAGCTACCAAAGGATCTACAAAGCGAAAGCATGTTTTGATGTGCATCAAACAAAAAGTGGAATTGCTGCAAAAAATGGATAAAGACATGAAGAAAGTGACAGAGAGGTTAGTGAAAACGAAAAAATTTCGATTCACAAGTTAGTCAGTATTCTCGGCACAGCAATTACGGGACTTGAACAGCAGAACTTTGTAACTGAACAAGAAATTATGTCTGTTTATAGAATTAAAGAGAAAGTGTTATCACATAAAACGAAGCAACTTAAACAACTTACATTGAAAGAAATGTTTAATAAAGTAAATAAATAAATATTAAGCTTTTTTTTTTTTTTTTTTTTAATTTTGATACCCTTTAGATCATGATTGCTCTTTATTTCATAAATTACAGTTTCATATTTTTAATTTTATAATTTCTGCATGCCATCTTACCAATCCAGAAAATTCGACAATCCGGAATTGCCGAAGTCCCGATGAGTCCGGATTAAAGACTTTTGACTGTATATGTTAAAAGCAAAGTTTGAAATACAGCATTCTATAAAATATCTAGGCTAAAACTAGCCAGCAATGTATGAAACGATTCATATTTCAAACATTTTCTAGGTATTCTATAGAATGACAAACCAGCAAAGTATGAAATACATTTCTGATTCGTTTCGATGAGCCGAAAGTACTTATCAGAAGTTAATAAATGATGTAAAAAAGATAAATAATAAAAGGGAACTATGGGACTACTGCCCACTGAAATGCTAGAATGTGATGTTTGTAGAAAACAAAAATACACTGCTCAAAATAAAAGGGGGGACAGTTCTATATCTCCCCTTCTAGTGGGTCGACTGACGAAATTCAACCTGCATTTTTCATGTCTCGATAGCACGACTTAGGATATGTATTAGATTTACATACAGAATTGTTCTAATATAGGTATTTTAATACAAAACTGGACTTTTTTCTGAAATGACATGCCAATTTTTTTCCATATTTCGATTCTACAACTTAAATTATGCCAAACTGGCATGTTTTGTAAAAATTGCACGAGTAATTTTTAGAAAAATTACCTCTCAAAATTTTAACCCCTCAATGTTAATTGAATTTGATATATATTTATTAATATATCTTTTTTTATTAAATGTATTTGATTCTTCCTTTCATATTTCGAAATTTAGGTTCATTCCAAATAAATTTTTCTCTTTTTTTACGATTTATGTTTAAAAATTTGTATTTTTTAATAATTTTTATAACTTTTTGAAAAAAAAAATTAATTATAACCTATAAGTTTAAAAAGAGGTATACCAAGCAAAAAGGTCACTGTGGAGTTAAATTATTGATCACACATATTTATGCTAAAAAATTGCTGTTTCTTCAATTTGAAGGTATTTTATTTAGTACCAAAGTAAAATTAAGAGTCAGGATTCCCCATACATTTCTTTATGAAAAAAATTCACAGGCTAAAGAATAAAAAAAAAAAATTGTTGCAGGTGGTTCAGAAGTTAAGATTTTAGATTATTCTGCATGTAGGACATCCAAATTTTGTACTGTATAATTAATAAATTAGATTTCAAATGCAAAGATATACAAAAGATCAGATCAATATGTTTACTGTAAGGCTCTGGAGACTTAACAGACTTACAGAAATATAATAAACAAATACTATTTTTTTATAATTTGTTTTACAGAACAGCACAAAATCTTAATGCTTAAAATGTTAGAGAACCTTATAAGTTAATCTGATAAGGTTTAGTATCAAAATACATATTTAAAAAAAATTATATTGTTTTTATTTGACTATTTTTTACCTTGCAGCTGATAATACAGATTTTTTTTTTTTTTTGCTTTGTTTGTTTGTTTTCTAGTACAAGATTTAGAATTTTGAGAAATTGAATGAATTTTGAGAATTAAATGAATTTGGTTTAGAATTTTGAGAAACTCCTGAATAACTTATACATTCAATGTTGTATGCAAAATATTTTATACATTCAAGAAAAATACTTCACCACATTTTGCTATTTTTCTTATATTATTTGCACAGCCATTCCCATATAAAATCATTAAAATAAAAAATGTTCAACAATGAAAAATTTTGAACAATTAAATGAAGTGACTTACAGGAGATTCTTCCATTCAGCTTATGTTTACATTGATTCTGAAGTTAGTTATGACCTAGGTTTTATTTTCAAAGCCTCTTATAAAAATATTTGGTTTACTTTAATTCTTAGATATTTTTTTAGAAATTTTAGACCTATTTCTTAATAATTTCATATACTTGAGTAATTTTTTAATTTGTTGACTATATCACCCAAAGTTATAATAGTAAATCTGCAAAACATATGAGTTTTTAAAAAATTTTTCTTTAAGGATGGAGAGACAGAGGTCTAGAACTTTTCGCCATCACCATTTCACCATGGCCGTTTTGCCATCAAGGCCTTTCACTGTCAAGACATATTTTTATTTACAGATTTAAAAACATTTTACTTAAAATGTTTTTGATTAAATCAAATTATTTAACTGAACATAATTATTAAATTAAATCAAATTATTAAACTGAACAGAATTATTAAATTAATCAAATTATTAAACTGAACAGAATTATTAAATTAAATCAACTTAATATATAATACAGTAAGATATAATACAGCTGTGTAAAGAAAAATATGTCTTGATGGCGAAACAGTCCAATGGCAAATTCCATTCCCAGCGAGACAGCAAGAGAGAAACATATATGAAAAATTTATGTTAACATTGCCTTACTTTTTCAACTCCATTAGCAACTGCTCTCCTCAAAACTTCATGTAAATCATCAACATGTTTTTTAGTGCCATTGTAAATACCCCTAAACATAGGATCTAGAAATGAAGTTAAACAAAAATATATTAAATATGCAGAAATATTAGGCAAAATGGCTACTTCATAAATGCATGGCATAAAAAGTGATACTTATCATAAAATGCAAAAATTTTTTTATTTAATTGAAATGAAACTAACTGATATTTTTTATGAAATTAGAAACATTATAAAAATAAAAATGTTATATATAAATGAAAAATAATAAATTAAAAATAATTTGGTTTTAGTTAAGACAAAAAGGACTGTAAAATTCAGAAATTTCCAAAACCGCATCTCAAGGAATCTAGAATTAGCATAAAAGTTTAAAATTATGGACACAAACTTTTTTAATTCAGTTCCTAAGCTGAAGAAGCTAAATGCATAGGTATAGGTGCAATGCTATGCTTTCTCTATAGGTAATATGAATAATAGCAAATTTCAACCAGAACTTAGGCCACTCCATAAAAATTTAATGCTAATTTAATCGGTTGATAGCCTTCTTATGCTTTGCTGTTGTAATATATTACTTTGAACTTTTTCTTCACAAACTTTAATCTTATTATTTCTCCAGGAAGCAAATTTAATCAGCTTCAAACACAGATTTCTTGAAACAATGAAATTACTTCCTTATCATGGAAATTAAATTACCCCTTTGCACTCGACCTGAATCAGCAAATGAAAATACCTACAAAGCCTTATGAAAGTGAAGTAATAAAAGTAAATTTTAAAGTAAAGTATAAAATTTCTTTGAAAAACAAAGCCTGCCATTAAAAGATCTTCATCAGTGTGCTGATACTACAAACAGACAACATTACATAAATTTGTTAAATCTAAATTAGAGAAGAAAATGTAAGTAGAATTGTCCATGGATAGTTTCAGGTTTCAAAATAATATTAATTTCAGTTCCAAAGTTTGTATGAATACCAAAGAAACAAAACAGTGACTTCTTGTTTCATTCCTGTCAAAAAGCATAGACAATTAGTAACAATAAAAGGACTTTTTCAAAAATAATAGAATCTGCATTGAAAAACATGAAATCAAGTATATATATATACGTCATGATTTTGTGTGTCATGATTTTGAAATGCGTAGATGAAGGCACTGGAACTTTTAACAGCTCACGATACTGTGCAGATGGCTGAGAAGACTGTAGTGGCTGAAGGTAGGGATATTTTCAATTATGAATGAAAATAATATTACCACAGAGTCTTTGTATCCAAATTTCACTAAGACTAGACAATTTTTCTCATGAAGAGTATAAATAAATAGAAAGGAATTAATAAGAATTTTAAAACACAAGAATATTTAAAAACATCACATTTAACTCCCAGGCCATTTTTACCAGTTTTTGTTGCATACATTTAGACACTTTAACTTATAATAGCAATGAACTAAATAGCAATAGATAGGGGAAAACATTGCATAAATTAAAAAAAAAAAAAAAAAAGCATTAGAAGTTAAACTGTGAATAAAATGCAGAATATGCTAATATTAATATATTTATGACTTAAGTTTATAAATTTTTTATGACTTTTACCATTCCTCTCAGAAGTTGTTCCTTCAGCATCTTCTTACCACATTTGGCTCTACTCTTATATGTGCCCTAATATCACCAAATGTGGCGATATGTGTGCTGCGCTGGTTTTTGGCATGATTGCATGTTGTATGGCAACCCTGTTGACGTTTAAAAATCTTTTGCTGGAGTGGTTTAAATGCCCGTTGGTTCGTGTCATGCGTGTTTTGAAATGGCCTATGTTGTAATGATAGACGTGGTGGCAAGATTTCAGTCACATATTTAAGATTGTGTGGAAAGTAAATTTAGTATTAAAAGATACAATGTTGGAGTTGTTAACGAGTCTTTTGTTCACGGGTGTGTTTATGAGGATTGAAGTGTATTTTTGGAATTTCTGTGGGACTTTTAAAACGGAGTCCGAAATGCAGAGCTGCTATGAGAACTCGGATGAAGAAGGACGTTTCTGATAGTTCTTGTGTGGATTTGCAGTCAAATGGTTTCTGGTATGTGGCTGTCAGCGGAGTTTAAGATTTGGATTGTGGTTTTTCGTGTAGTAAGTTAACTTTGGAGGAGTTTTTATCGTTACTTTCGAAATTTTGAAACTCAGAAAGACACGTGATATAGCAAAATCATGGCACTTTTTTTCAGAGACGTTATGTGACTGGCGAAATTTTATTCAGGAATGTATTATGATAAGTGCATTTTATTTTACTGTTTTTATTTTGTAGAATGTTATGTTCATTGTTTTTTTACTATGAATTTTGTTATTGTTGTTTTTTGAATTGTTTGTAATTTAGTTTAGTTTATTTGGTTGATTTGTGCGCAATGCCTAGATTGTGCAATTCGTAGATTTTTTTTTAAGTTTAAACAGAATGGTGTGTACATGGTATTCTTTGAAATTTATTGTTGTCATGTTAAATTATTGAAGCGAAGTGTGTGTAGTTCATAGATTCCTGCGCTGCCTAGAATGTGCTATTCGTAGATTTGTTTTTTAAGTTAAAACATATCGCTGTGTGCATGGATTCTTGTCAAATATTTTTGGTTAGAAACTTTACGTTTTTGCTAAATTTTTTGTTAGCTATTTGTTTTGTTTTTTAGCTTAAATTGTACCTTCAAAACCTGGTCTTTTCATGTGCGAAAAACACGTTTTTGGAGACATTTTAGGCTTAACATTCAAAATGGAGACAAAAAATTTAGGTAGTAATATGGCAGCATAGAGTTTCTCGCCAAAAATGTTTGGCGAGAAATTTGCCAACCTGAGGGCGCATATAAAAGTAGTTCCATAAAATTTATCAAAAAATGAAAGGGATATGTGAACAGGGCTGTGGAGTCAAATTCGGAATCTGGCACATTTTGAGGTAAAAGGAGTTGGAAACAGGTAGACCCCGATCCCAGCTTTTGTTGGACAGTTTGAACTTGAAATGAAATTAAAGTGAACTGAAAACAAATTAATGACAAACTGAGTCATAATTTTTATTTACGGGCTATAAACATTAATAAATAGTTACTTTCTATTTTATCGACATATTAATAAATAAATATAAGGGAGGAGGATGGATGTGATATTTGCCATTAGTAATTAAACTGATTCCTTTCGTTACAAATCTCATTGGTAAATTTAGATAAGCAGTAATAGCAGCAAGAACTCCCAAAACTGATACCATTCTTAGGAAGCGAGCGGAAAAGGGAGCAATTGTTGATGAAGCAACGAGATGAGCAAGTACATATTTGATGAAATAGAGGTTGTTAGAATTAAGAACGTTTTTAGAAGATGTAGATAACCCTAATGTTTCACCAACAGGAAAACTGTGGAATGATCTTTCCATAATTGGAAACTCTTCTTTCTACACCATATATAGCCACAAAAAAGCTACAATCTGAAAAATTAACAGGAGGCGAGAATGGAGGAATGGGAAGTTTGTTCTTTCTGAAAAGGAGGGTTTATTGCTGAAGGAATCATTTCTTCAATGAAGAAAAGAGAAACTAGTTTGCTAGAAAATGAGATCTTGCTAAGTTCAATATATAGAGATCCAAGACACCGAATTTTGTTAGATGACGAACAAATTAAGAAACAAAAGAAAGCCAACTAGGAATTTTCAATAAGAATGAAATTATTTTCAGAATAATTCGAGTATTGAAATCAGGACGGTCAAACTGCAAACATTGCCACTGAGTCTCTATCGTCCTCTTTCAGTGATGAATTAGATTAAGAGAAATATTTTTGAATAATATTGAAAATATCATACTTGCCAACCTATGACATTCAAAAATCAGGAGATTTTTTTAAGAAATCGGGAGATTTTTCACAAAGACTTTTTAAATGATGAAAATATAGTTTTTAATAATGAATTAACTTTAAATAGTAACTAATTCTTAAATGCAAGCAACATAAAAATATCCTTACACACAAAAAAAAACACTTTTATTACTTGCATCGTTTAACCCTTTGATGCGCGCGATATTATTTTTATACTTTTTTTTAACTAAAACCTCTAGAAATTGAATATTATGATCCTAGAGACAAATAATATATGAATTAAAAAAATCTTCTCTTGCCCATTGTTTTGTGGGTGGAGGTCGCACTGTGAAACCACCGCGCGTCTAGAACTTTGAAACTTACCTAGGTAATAGGGAAAAAAAGCTTGCCTTTCTCCATGCGCGTTTCAAATAAATGATGAAATTTACGAATTTAAAAAAAAAAAATGCATGTAGAAATTGCATAATATATATTTTTTACATTATTTTACAAAGTAAATCGTCAGAAAAAATTAAAAAATAAATATTTACGTAATTTTGCAGTGAAAGTATAAGTAGTACTGTTGTAGCAGTGAAAGTATAAGTACCTACATAATAAGGACATTTGGCTACATGGATTAAAAAACTTGGTAAAACAAAAAATAAAACAAAGACTCTGTTTTTTGTTTTTTTTAATTTCAAAGAACAAATATTTTTTGTGACACTGTTCAAAGCATGTTTTGTCTTTTTGGTACATGTATGCCACACTGCATGTTTCGCACATGTGTCGTCTTCTATGAGGTTTCTTCTTTGTGCTACAAAATGTACACGGATTGGATCTAAATTTCATTGGTATATGTCCAACATTATTTAGTTTCTTTTCATCTAGCAGAGGAAATTTGTGGTTTTTTTATGTTAATGGGGAGGGTTGGTACTTTTTAGCTTTGATACGGATCATTCGTTTCCCATTCACACTTATTTTATTCGTTTTCGTCCCAAAATATCAGAAAATATTTTTAATTTAAATAAAACTTCAAACGCTTTCTATTTTTAATTACACAAGTATATTTACATTAAATTTAAACCACAGGAAATATTTATAAAATCACATACTCTTGGGGGCAAGTGTGTTGAGGTCAGAGAAAGTCTCTGGAAAGACTTTTTACGGCAGGTGCATGTATTGTTTAGTAATAAATAACTCTGTGGTTTCAAAGCCTCTTCTTATCCGGGTAAAAATAAACATTCCTATTTGAGAAGCAAGCAACACCAATG